CTAAATTCAAATTCAAATTTCAAATTCAAATTCAAATTTCAAATTCAAAATTCAAATTTCAAAATACAAATTCAAATTTCAAATTTCAAATTTCAAATTTCAAATTCAAAATTCGAATTTAAAAATTCAAATTAAAAATTCAAAATTCAAAATTCAAAATTCAAATTTCAAAATCAAAATTCAAAATTTAAATATTTGATAATTAATTTAACTAATTAAATTAATTAGTAATGTCTTGGACCATCCAAACCCATTAACAATACCATGTGCCATCTCTCTCTTAGGTGGACTTCTAAACTTCATCTTGGGCTAACAACCATTATTAGGCCCAATACCTTTAATGTTATATCATCATGACATTAAGGTGTTATTGTGTGTCCCATTAGGTCCAACATAGCCACTGACATAAATGGGCTCGGGCCCAACAAGCCCACAACCTATTTAATGACAGTACAGAGCACTAGCAATGCTTTGTTGCCCAAGAGCTAGTTAGATTAATGACTTGATCATCCTATTACACATATTTGGTTGCCGTATGTATTTCTTTTCGTCTCGGTTACCTTCCCATAAAACCTAGGGTAAGGAAGCGTATCAACCCTTGCGGTTTAGGGTAAGCTTTATTCGAAATAGGGAATTTTCAATTTACTGACTCTAAAGGCAGATCATCTCATGATCTCTTTTACTATGCATAGATTCCTGAGTCCCTGTAAATGTCATCCCGATTTCTCTGGTTTACAGATAACCTAATCTCTCATAGAGATCTGACGAATTCCTTCAGCTTATCACCCTAGCCCTGTGCTCTTTCAGGACAAGCCCAACAGTATACCTGTGAGTCTCCATGTTTCAGGCAGACGAGGTATACAGTCAAAGCATGCCTTCTAGAACACAGTCTAGGTAATAACTTCTGGTCTAAGGAAAGACATACCCAAATATAAAGAGACTGCTCTAATGATACTCTCTGTGAGATTTCCTCGTAGAGTCTCTTTTGTGGATCTGTTCAGTGCGAGCTATACCCTTATAGGTCCACCCACGACTTTAGCTAAGACATCTCCATATCTGTAGCACACCAGGTCTTTACCTTGTATCCAAATACAAGTAGATTAGTCGTGCTAGTCTTACCCGAGATCACTGATCCCCATTCTCAGTGTCTCTAGACTAGGAACATAAAATTAGGAATAAACGTGTGGTATCCTTGAATCCTCATGATCGTGATCTCATCACAGATACTCAAGAGATACATGTTCTATTCCAAGGGGTTTCTCCAGTTACTCATATAAAATATTAACAGTAATATTGAGACAAAATATGAAACAAGATAAATAGTGCTTTTATTTATTTGCGACAATACAAAGGTCCACATATGTCCTAATCTAATTAAAAGATTATCTCTAAGATTTTAATTTTTCAATTAATATGATTTTTTCCATTAACAAATTTATAATTATATATATTATTTTATTTTTCAAGTGTCAATGTTTTGAATACCCCAGATAATACAACAGCACCAAAAGCTTCTGATATAAGTCAGTAAGTTTATATAATCAAATAATATCAACTACGAAAATGGTTGTTTTTTCTTAATTATAAAATATGTTAAATACGTAATAAATTAATTCAAGAAATTAACTTTAATTATCCTAATTAATAGTTATTGAGTTCCAATGTTTGATTAATTCCAAGAGATTAAATTGTAGTTAAGGTATCCACATATTTCATAATATTGGAAAAGAAAGTAAAGCTCCAAAAGAAGTAGTTGTGGAGGCTAATGGAACCTCTCATGTTGCAGTGCCAACGCAAAAGTTGTTTCTCCAAGTAGATGAAAAATTAAATAATGCTTCTTCATGACCAAGATTTAGTTTTTTTTTTTTATTTAGATGAACTCATTTTGAAATTTCCCTAGTTCTACATGTCTTTGTTTTTATCTTGTTAGTAACTGGTTGTGAATAATCATTCTTAGATTTGATTCAAAACTGGTTATAAAATCATTTTTGAATTTGAAAAACCTGTTTAAACTTGAAAACCAATTTTGATTTCAATCCGGTTATGATTTAAAATTGGTTTTAAAAAACTGGTTCAAAACTAGTTTTAAATCAAAACTAGTTATAAACTATAAACCGATTTTGGAACCGGTTTCAAACCAGGTAAAAAAAAAATCAAAATCGATTTTAAAAGCTTGAGATGTTTAGTTTAACATATTAAAATGTTAGAATTTTTGGTAAAGAGTTACAATTACAGTTTTAAAAATGGTAAACAAGGTTTGTTGTCGTATTCACAATTACAGTAGTTTCTTTGGAATGAATTTCAAGGAAACGACTTGTAAACTCTATTGTGCTAGTAAGTGAGGTTCTAAACGGTATGAGACCCTGGGGAGTTGATTTAGTTCCTCCCACCTTGGGTTAGTGTCCCTATGTCAAGAATGACTATGTAAAAGATAATATTGAAATGAATGTCGTAAACTGGTATATTTGCTAATTGTCGTTACATCTTTGAAAGAAGTTGTGATTTTGTGAGGGCCTATGATTGTGATCCTTTGGATACTGAGAGTACATTGGAGTATGTTGTTGTAACAGGTAAGCTTCGTGATCTCAAAGTTAATCCTCATTTGTTCTACCAAACTCCATAGGAGGCTGGTTGTTTGATATGATATATGTGTTTTATTTGGAACTTGAATTTATGAAATAATGCACTCTTATATATGTATATGATGTGGTGTATTACACACAAGACGATAATCTCTAAGTGTGGGTATAAGGTAGACACCTTATGCTTTTTATGTATGTAGTAGACGTGTGCAAATCATACCGTTCTCTGGCTTACTTAGACTTGTTAGCACACATGCAATATATATATATATATATATATATATATATATATATATATATATATATATATATATATATATATATAGGATATGATCCTTTGACACCGGTGTCAAATTTTAAAATTTGACACTAAATCCTAACCTTTGATTTTCGTCAATCAACGATTATCATTTATTGGAATTAAACTTATTAATTACTATCAATTTCCAATAAATGATAATCGTTGATTGGCGAAAATCAACGGATAAGATTTGGCGTCAAATTTCAAAATTTGACATCGGTGTCAAAGGATCTTGCCCATATATGTGTGTGTGTGTGTTGTCGCCTTATGTGGATTTTATACTGCTCATACTGTTTTTATACTATTATACCTAAAGTGAACTTGGGGCGAAGTGATCCTTCAAGAACCCCAGTTTACTAAGATTTGTCAAAATCTCACCTCGTCTGAGGCACATTTTCAAGTGCAGATATTCATGATGCTGGTGCATCTCGAGGCAAGAGGCGGGAGTCGAGTGTTTAACATGATATGCCTGACTATTTTGTGTTTATACATATTGTAATATTCTTTGTGTATTGTTGTTGGGGAATATATATTAAGCATGTTGGTCATTATTTTGTAACATGATTTGTATGTGAGATGGCTTAAACAAAGGATGGCTAGGTGTCACAATTTATGTATGCATAAGTCATTTAAATCCCTTAAGATATGATGATTTAGGTGTCTAAAAAGGTATGAAATAACTTAATTAAACCAAATGTGTGGTTGACGCTTGTTGTATGTCTTAGGTAATGACAACTAAGTACAAGATAAAGTGTTACGAGGCAAGGGGTTGAATGTTAAACCCCCAGCTGGAAGAAAGATATTACATTTCGCCATCGTCATGGAATATTCGGATATTGGTGATCTAATCTCCGAATATGTCCCCGATAAATATCCGGATATTCTGGGTAAACAGAAATAAAAATAAACGTTTAAAAAGAAATGCTTGTAGACCTTATGGAACTTAAATATGGAAGGCTTAAATCCACCTCTAAGGAGTGCGGTGCCTTAATAAATGTTAAGGAAGATGAGAGTAACTATAATAAATAATTTCGATGTGATTGGATGTCTTAGAGTGTGTATTGATTACAATGTCATGGATAACTAGATAATAGAAGAATTTGATAAGATTGACATGAAATGAATAAAATAATTAAAATAATTCTGATATCAACGGATGTTTAATGGTGGTCATGATAATAGGTAAATGTAAGATTAATTATGCAAAGTGTAACAAGTAGTAAAAAAAGAAAAAGTTTATCCGCCTTTTTCACTTAATAATTCTAATGTTATTTTCGCCGCAAGTAATTAATTTTAAGCTGCGCTTAATACCATTTTGATAATAATACACCAGATGCACACGAGGTGTTATGCTAGTCCTGAAATAAAGCAGTCTCATAAATTATGTTGCAAAAACATTCTCATTGAACATGATTGGCATCCTGAAATAAAGCAGTCTCATCAATGAATTTTTATTTCAATTAACACTAGTCGAATCTTTAAAATTTGTCTATGATATTGTATCCGATTTTTTCCTTTTTTTTCTTTTTTTAAAAGTGTGACTGAAAAGTTATGAATTTTAATTCAGAAAATAACTTATTTGTAAATATGTATAGATAAGACTGCATACAATAATTGCTCTCACACTTATCCTAATTAGTCGAGATTTCATGGGAGAGTGATTTTATTTTTATTTTTCTAAAAAATAAAATAAAATACATGTGAGTTTACTTTCAAATTTTGATGAGTAAATATCACAATACACTTTAAATTAGATCAAAAGTAAATACATTCTTAATAACACGTTTTGAATATAAACTCAACTTTGAAAAAAGCTTTATCTATCAAATGTTTAATCCTCCACGGATTCACCTTTGTCCCCGGCCTATCCAGGTGCTGAGTACCAAAAAAAATCTTTAATACTTTGGCACAGAGATTTTTCAATTTTCATTTTTGGATGTTTTTCCTCAATGAATAATGTATAAATGCTACTATGTATTCATAAAGGATGACTAATTTTTAGACATTTTTTGCATCATGGAAGGAGCTGATCACTGAAAGATCCAATGGATATAGAGTGGTTGAAATAGTGTGAAGGTAGTACCAAAGATAAGTGGTAAATATTAAGATGTGATCCAAATTTGAAAGGAGTCAATTGTCAATTGAAAGTTCAGAGGTCTACTTGCCAAAGCCTCAAAGTTGAAAGGGAGTTTTGTGGACCTTTCCCTTACCTAAAAAATGATACAGAATGTATGTTACACAGCACTAATTTTATGACCTTAATGCCTATATCTACCTCTCCTACAACAACCAGTGTTTCCGCCTTGGTTTATGCTGGATTGGTGCATCTAAAACAAAGACAAGATAGTAAATAAATAATTAATAGACTCATAATACCCCAAAACAAAAGTAATTGAAGTTCAAATCTAAGGAAGGATCGAGTTTTATGGTCAACAAACCTCGAATTTCATACGGTGAATTGTAATGAACTTCAGACCGGAAGCTCGACCACAGTTCTGCATCATAAAGAAAATACAGAGAAACGCGAGAGTAAGAGAATCCTACTATAGTAAGAGAACCCATGCATGAACAATGATAACAATTTTGATAAAATTTCATTGCATAACGTCATCATTTCTATATATTGTATCATTTTTCCATCTATTATTAAAAAATGTAGCATAACCAAACTCAACTTTATTAACTTTTGAGTTATGTATTTAAAGAGGTAGCCAGGATATCTCCATTGACATGCTTGACAAGGTAAGAAACAGACAGGAATGACACTTGGATTTAAGGTCTTCAATAACCAAAATTTAATTGGGGGGAAAAACAAAAGACTGGGAATGATGTATGCTTCGATAACATACAACATCACTTTTACTTAAACAAAAGTTCTAATTCAATTTCACTTACAGATTCTTGGGAGAAGCATATATAGCCAAATCTTGCCCATGCACTCCAGTGAAGTATTTCATTTTTTACATAACACATTCTACCAGGATTTTTGTTGGGTTGGGGGAGCCAAAATACGTATTAACCCAAAATCTTAAGAAATTATTAGGTATATGGATCTTTTCCTATTGTATAGTTCTTATTTTATTCATTCATTTCCAATGTGGGACGACTTCACCAACATCTAACTCAAACTTGAATTCCCAACAATTTTTGCTCTTGCTATCTTATTAAAGGAGTCTCGACAAAAACAATTTGACTTAGTCAAGATAACAAAATTCTGATTACCCACAACTCTAGTTCACTTAGGTTTCATATTTAGCACAACCCGTCCTCAATCTATATGTTAGTTTCCTTAGAAATACATATATGGATGTATATACTCATTGAACCCCAAATGTGAGGATTGGATTACCATATAATAATCTTGAAGCAGTCATACCTTACAGATACAGATGTAGTACTATTTCCTGGATGCACCAACTCTTTTCAAGTCAAAGAAGAGATAAACCATATCAAAATCCACTACATATGCTCTTTCAAGAAAAGGGAATAACTATGTAGCACCGATACCGACACGGGACACGAGACAGGATACGACACGACACTCCGACACATTAATTCTAAAAAATGTTAGATTTCGACACGTTAGGACACGTTTTGATATTAAATAATATTTTTTATTTATATAGTGTATATTATATTTAATATTCAATAATTTAACAAAAACATGAAGATAAACTTATAATATCCATCAATTTTGCAAAGAAACATAAGATATCCCAAATATTTATATTAAACTCAATAAAATGATAATCGTAATCTAACGAATCTAATATTTGAAACTAAAAAAACAATGCAACGCAACCTTTGAACCTTTTATTGAGTCTCTACAATGTGTGTTGGAGTGTCGGAAAATGTCGGACACAACACGTCAGGGTTTTGAAGTGTCGGTGCTTCATAGGGGAACAATTTAACAACAATTAACTACTATAGTATTAACCAACTAAAGGCCCCAAAAATAAAAAATGTAGTCAACACATGCATAAAAATAAATTAAAATCAAAAATTAATATTGGATATAATACATATTACCTAATATTATTCAAATAACCCATTATTATGTTAATAATATATTTTGCTAGATGACCTAATGAACTAACCAGTCAGGTTTGCCGGTTCTTCTATCACTCTGATGGGCCTTTAATAAAGTATCCAATCTCATTAGTTAGCTATTAGTTATATATAGATGTTTAGGGTGGGGTTTCTTTATGCTGATTGTTATTTGTAATTTGGGAATTAGGATGGGGAATTAGGAGAGGAAATAGGGGAGCTCTCAAGGCTATGTTGTTTTCTTGGAGTGGAGTTTTTCCTCTTGTTCTTTCAATGTTTGATATTACTTTTCTGCAATTTAATTGTATTTTTCATTAATACCATCAATTCTATTTGGGATCCATCAATTTGGTATCAGAGCACTTCCGATCTTGGAAGTGCTTTCTGGTCCAGATCTATAAGGGGAAAAAATGTCACAAATAAGAATGAATCTTAAAGCTTTGGAGAAGAGAAGCACATCATAGGTCATTGAGTTGTTTCAGAAGATGAGAAAGATCATATATAATTGCGAAGAGAAGCGAGAAGCTCTAATGAAAGAAGACGTAAAGGTACATGAAAGTCTTGAAATGGCAATAACGAGATCCAAAACGGATACAAATGAAAGCAAAGGAGAAATAGAAGAAGCGGATTGATACGGTACTGCAAAAAATAAATATGGAAGAATACATGTGCGGAAGAGGTGTAGGGGATTAGAAGAACCACATGCACAACATATGTTAGAATTAAAGGGTGAGTCAACATTGGGTGATGGAGGGAAAGTTGGTTAGAGGAGTCACATTGTTTGCAATCAGTTTGTTATAAATAGAGAGGGGAAGACAGAGGAGGGATCACCTTGGAAAGTGGGACTCTTGGGCTCTTGGGAGAGAACCAGAACCTCTCGAATTGTTCTGGATATCAGAGTGTGTATTTCCTTTCCTGTAGCTTTTGTTTTTCTGTAATTTCCTTTTCCATTTCTAGTAATTTTCCTTGAATATTGTAATTCTCCATGTCAGCAATAACAAGTTTCCATTTCCATTTAGTAAAATCTCAGTTGTTGTTGTTTAATTTCTGATCATGGATTTGAGGTCTGTAACATGCAGAAAAAAGAAAAAGAAATAGATGAAGAAGAAGCCGAAACAGAAGCAAAGGATTAAGGAAGAACAAGAAAAGGAAGCAGAAAAAGAAGAAAGAGAGGGAAATGCAGAAAAAGCAGCAAAGGTATATCAAAAAGAAGCAGAAGGGAACAAAGTAAAAGGAGCAAAAATAAACGCAGAAGAAGGATCAGAAGGGAACAACGCAGAAGAAGGAGCACAAGGTGAAGACAAAATAGGAGGAGACGAAGAAGCAGTAGCAAACGAAGATGCAGTAGCGTTAGGAGAAGAGAAAACAAATGTAGGAGAAGAAGAGGAAGATGAAAAACAGGAGGAGGAGAAGTTGAGGCAAATCAGCGTCAACGACGTGAAAGGGAAAAGGAGAAAGGAGGGGCAGAATGGGTTTACAGAAAAAGCTGGGTCAATAAAAATTCACCTAATGGACCAAGCCCAAAAGACATGTATGGCAGGAGAAAAAGAGGTGGGCTTCATCATACAAATTGAAATAACTTCATCATACGAATTGAAATAACTTCAGCAGTTATTTTGAACCAAGGCCCAAAAATTATAGTGATTCAATCTAAGCAAGTGCTGAAAATAACAATGGGCCAAGTGAAAGGCAAGTCTCATGGGCCAGAATCAGTGGATCAAGTTAAGGCGATAGAACACATGTGGGATTTCCTTCCACAGCTGAGACACGTTGAGTTTAAGGGAGCCTCAAATAAACTCTGTTTTGTGGCCAAAATTGCCATGGAAAACAGAGCATATTTTGTGGGTCAATATTCTACAGGAAGCAGAGCACTAAAGGAAAATGGAGCTGCAACAATTTGCAAGGGAGCAGTGGGGTCAAGTGTAACTAGGTCTATATGCTTTAAGCAATGGGATCCAGGTGGAATCCTAGTCTCTTCCTTCACCTTGAAGACAATGTGAATTTTGAAGGGAAAGTATTGATGGGGAAGTATTGATGGGCCTTTAATAAAATATCCATGCCCATTAGTTAGGAATTAGTTATATATAGATGTTTAGGGTGGGGTTTCTTTATGTTGATTGTTATTTGTAATTGGGGAACTAGGATGGGAATTAGGAGAGGAAATAGGGAAGCTCTCAAGGCTAGGTTGTTGTCTTGGAGTGGAGTTTTTCATCTTGTTCTTTCTATGTTTGTTATTACTTTTCTACAATATAATTGTATTTTTGATTAATACCATCAATTCTATTTGGGATCCATCACACTCTAACCCAATTGGACAAATGACCAAAGTCAAGAGGTATCAAACTAGTGATACACGGTACAGAAATATTATTTAAATAGCACAGAAAAAATAAAGTTGCAATTAAGTTTTCCATGTCAACCTCTATTACTTATATACTAAATGTCAGATGAAATTCCCATAGGGCAATTTCTAAATCCAACAATATAGGCATATGCACCGGCTTCAGAATATTAGTAAGAGCTTGAGAAATATGTTCTTCCAGGACAGAATACAACCTCAAACAACTATCACAAACTTCACTTACTGAAATAATCTTTTTCTATTAGTAAGAATGTTCCTTGAGTAAAAAGAATTAAATAGAACATTTTCAACTTAGTTTGAACAGAAAAATCTAAATATTCAAGAAAACAGAATGAAAGGAATAAAAATAATTATCAATTGGTGGCATACTTCAAAAGCAACAAAATGTTTAAACACAGCATTACGAACCTTATCAATGCTGCCTGTTAGGTAATGTGGTCCCCCCATTCTCCAGCTCTGTCATGCAGTAGAAAGAAGGTGAAGACAGTGCATTTGATAAAAAAGCTACTTAAAGAATCCACAAATTTAATGGATTATTTCAAATATAATGGTTTAAGTAATGGTTTATCGAAAAATACACGTACTTACCATTTTCTCGTGATATTGTTTGTACTTCATTGGTACATAGCATTCACGTAAGGAGCAGTGATCTTTGAGCTGGCAAAGAGTAACATTATGCAAATAAGCATCTCAAACTATCTATTTGCAATATTTGATAGAATTAATAGATTTCATATTGATCCACCAGCTAGTACAGAGGATTTGTACCACTTCCCTTGCATGATTTAAAAACCATTATTTTATTAACTAAACCAATAATTTACAGACATTTTTTACTCTCCATGCTGCATTCATCGTTAATCAGTAACTATTAACTTGGACACTATAAAAGAACACACCCACCCACCCCTCTTCTCTTTTGAGTATGCACTCATTGATCGAAAACTCATTCATCTATATACATCAGCAAATTCAAATCTGTTAACCTAGTAAAACAATCATAACCCAAGAAAACTCATAGCTTGAATTATTTAACAGGCATTATCCTTTCTACATGACCAACTACAGTGCAACATACCTGTTTTACAATCTCTTTATGGACATGCCTGTGGTGTTCAGGTGACCTATACAGCTGATCTGAAAGTGCACGGAACTGCAAAGCAGAGGGAATCATCAGTAAAATTCAAAAAGGATATTAGGATAACGCCCGTCCTCATAAACAGTTGCTATGTCAACACACCTGACAGTTCCAACGCCCGGTACTTTAACAACGCATACACCATAGACATTCAACCTGAAAGAGTGAAGAGAGAATGGTTTAATAACTCCAACAAAGAATAAATGCATAGCATGAATAAGTGAATAACAATTAACATGGTACTCGCTGAGCTTATCCTCATTATTTTACAAATGTAGGTGCCTAGGACATATCAAATATCAATATGTTGGACAATAATTGTACATGGCCAAAGCAACAGACAATGTTTGCTAACTTTGATGCTTCAGAATATGTATTCTAAGCATTAAATAACCCAGGAATTACTGTTACCAACCAAAAGAAAAAAAAAGCCCAGCAATTACTTCCACGTGAAGATCTGGGATACAGAATAGTCACCAAATGATTTCGCCACATAATCTTTCTTTTACCATTTTTCTTATGAAGCATTGCAAAATCCAACTTTAGTTTATTCCTTGAAGTTGAAAGAATGCCAGTGTACTGTTCTCATTAAGAGCTTTTAAGGCAACTTTGTTCTATCTTATTTTGCTAACCATATCTATATGGCCTCCCACAAACGCCACTATATCAACCGTCAATCTGCACAACTCTCCTTGCCTATAAGGAACAACGTCTCTATCCCCAAGTCATTTTAATTTGAATCACCAAGTTCTATATGCTGTTTCTACTTATTTCGAATTAAAAAAAAAAAAAGAAGGAAAAAAATTACTTGACCAGGTACGTTTTTAATTATACATAATATAATTGCATATATCTGTCCATGCTCATTATTTTAATAGCCAAATTTCTTCTGAAAGCGTATAGATGGAAACTTAAAGCTATAGAATATTCCTCAAAACAAAAGAGCAGATTTTATATAAAGGAAAGACATACCTCTGTAGCAGACGCTGGTCATCCAGACTGGCATCACTTATGGTGGAAGTATTGATAGGAAACCAACCATAGGAAGCTAACTTTAGTGCAGGTGTAATATAGAGGTGTAACAAGGGATCAATTCCCTAAATAGAATCATCAAATGAGTGGGAATATTGTGGGGGTGAAGGCAGTTACGGGTCAGTGGGAGGTTGTTATGGGAGAGACGATAAAAGGGAGAGGAAGGGGAGACAGGGAGTATCGAGAATGTAACGAAAAACTGGGACTTGGGAGAGTCAGTAGCCTCTCAAACACTACTGGATTGTCATTTTATTTTTTTGCACACAGTTATGTCTTTGTTTCTTATTTTTCTTCCTTGTAAGCAGCTGCATCACCACTGTAAGCACCGAAATCAGCCATATTAATACAATTTTTTCTTCTTAATTTCTAGATCTCTTTCTTTCTTGGTTGGGTTCTATCAGCATACCAAGGTATAAGGTGGTTATGTCATAAAATCTCCTGACTTGATATGCTACACTTTAATATGAAGAAATCTTTCTTTTGAAAGTGTAACATATGCATGTCTTTCCTAGTGCCACTTTCTAAGTTGACAACATCAAAATTAAGGCTTGAATCAAGCAAGTAACAAGAAACTTCATCTATGCTTTCTCTTCTTTGAACCCTTAACACCAGAGAAAAATCCCGCGGTATAACGTGAATTAACAAGCTCCCGAGGCACAGCTGCTCCACCAGATTTTAGAACATCAACTAATTCTGCAAATACATTCTTATTCTCCTCATTTATAAAAACCATGGCTTGACCTTCCTCTCCCATTCTAGATGCTCTTCCAATCTGATGTACATACTCGTTAATGGAATTGGGCATGTCAAATACAATTACCTGTCTTACCCCCAATAGATCAACCCCCCTACCCAAAACTCCAGTAGCCACAACCACTGGGACCTCACCCACCAAAAAGGACTGCATTATTTCCCTCCTTTCCTTCATAGACTTCTCCCCATGAATTGAAACTGCTTTAATTCCTGTGGCAACAGTGATTGCATTAGCCAGGAGATCTGCCCCAAGTCTGGAGCCGACATATATTAACACAGGTGGCATAAAATGCTTCTCACTCCCCAAAATGTCAAACAGCTTCTGCTTCTTTTGCTTTGACTCAACCCATATTGCTAGCTGCTTCACAGCCTTATTTGGTCTATTAGGTTCCCCAACAGAGATAACAACTGTAGCTTTCGCCAGAGAGTTTGCCATCTTCTCTAAATCATTAGACATTGTTGCAGAAAACATCAAGACCTGAGGTTGTGACAGAGCCCTATATATCTGCAAGACCTGATCTCGAAAACCCCTTTGTAGCATGCAGTCCACCTCATCCAGAACAAAAGTCATCACATCATCTAAGTCAATCTCATGCTTAATTAAAAGATCAACAAGCCTTCCTGGGGTTCCCACAATCAATTCCACTCCTTGTTGAATACGGTAGAGTTGCCCAGCCATGGCCTCACCGCCAACCACAAGTGCAGTTTTAAAAGGCAATCCCTTTCCAAGCAATTTAGCATGCTCTTCAACCTGTATAGAGAGCTCTCTGGTAGGTGTTAACACTATAGCTAAAGGGTTCTTCTTATCTGAAACAAATGCCAGACGATGACTCACACAACGAGAAACTATCGGAATAAGAAATGAAGCAGACTTTCCAGATCCTGTTTCAGCCAAAACAAGCATGCTTTTGCCCGTCAAAGCAGCAGGGATTGCTTGCATCTGGACAGGTGTAGGCAAGTCATATCCAGCTGCTTCTATATTGTGGAGGAGCTTGTCAGGGAGGTTACAGGAACTGAATGACAATACAGGTGCCACCACATCACCTTTCACATGAATGTCGAGTTTCTTTCTAAGCGATTCAGCCTGATCACTAGCTAATGACGGAGTTCCTGATACGCAACCAGTATCCCTAACATAAAAGCACTCATCCGCTGCAGGTAGCTTTCTGGGTGGTGGAAGGCCTCCAACAGGTGAGGTAGATTTGGCAATTCTGCATAGCAGTGATTGTTTGCATTCCAAACTGCAAACATCATCATCAGTTTCATCACATATATACTCACCGTAGCGGCCACATATAATACACTTAGGTTCACATGCCAAAGCCTCTCTTTGGTCCCTAGAACTCAACTTCACATCATTTCCAGCATCTAAAATTACAAACACAAAATCAACTCAACTGGGTTGGTATGATTAGAATTCCAATAAAACAAACTGCTTGAAGAGGTAACAACATTCTATACAAGGTACCACAAGTTAAAAAAAAAAAAAAAAAAAATGGAAAAGGTCTTTGAATATCACGAAGATTATTCACCCTACTGAACAAGTAGTGAATGAGGAATACAACAACAAATGGGTTCACCCCACTAGGTGGGTCGATTACACCGATTAAACTAAACGATTTTGTTATGTCATAAACCAAATTTTCGAAAATGTAATAGTGCCCATTGGATTGGATATAATCAGTGGGAAAAAGAAAACATACGAGCATGGACAACACTCTTTCACTTGAATTGTGTCAAATAGGATAAGAAAAATCAATTACAGTAAGTTCATTTAACAACACCCAGAAAGGGACCATTTTAAATTGGATACTCAACAAGAGATTTGAATATCGTTGATGGCAAGGTGAGCAAAAGGGTACATGAATTAAAAGACATAGAGAAAAATTCAGGTGAAGAAAATCGGAGGCATTACCATGAGGTATATCACCATCGGTTGCGAGAGGTGAAACCTTTGATGGGTCATCGTGATTTGTGTCAAAACCAGTCATGTTGTTCCTCGGGTGGAAGAAGAAGTGGGGTTCAGTTAATCTTCTCTAGGGTTTCGAAAATAAAGATTTCCACAGCCACTGAACCTGCAACAATTCAAAAGATCTCTACGGTCATAAAACACTTTGCAATCTTGAATTTGTCTAACAAGGGACACTGACCAAAATGTCGTTGTTGATCAAATTTTTTATCCAAAATATCATGCTAATATTATTATTTTTCAATATGTAACGTGGGTAAATTTGGTAGGGTGCCCAACTAACTCGATTCGCTGATGTAACACTCTTCTGATGGGCATCAAGCAAACTATGGGTGGATGATTTTTTTTTTTTTTCAAAAGCTGTTTTTTTTCAAGAAAAAAAGTACTTTTCGTTTTTAGTTCATTTGGATATTTGCTTTTAAAAAAAGGAGAAGTCACAAAAAAAGTAAAAATTTACTTTTTTCAGAAGTTAAAAATTTTAACTTCTCAGAAAAGTAGAAGTCAAAAGCTAAATAATTTTTTCAAAAAATAAATATTTTTATAAAATTATAAATAGCTTTAACTTTTATAAAAAGTACTTTTAAAATAAGAAAGTGGTAAAAGTTACTTTTAAAAAAAGCTTAACCAAACGACCTCTATGTGCTATGTGACACCATGCACCTAATTTGCTGAGAATCCAAGCGAAATAAATTTTTGATACTATTGTTGCACTTAGATTCAGTACATCTTATTGATGAAAACATTACACATTAGAGGAGAGAGAAAAAAAATTTGGCATAGGAAAGAGAATTTTGACTGACATGTAATATTTCTATTGGTGGGATTGGTGAGATGCACTCAATCTTTGGTGTAACAGTAATACCAAAATTTATTCATCCAAGCGATTAGGAATCACCCCCATAATATGCAACCAAGATCGCTATTCCACGTAACGAACTTGGTATTCATCAATAATGTGTCACATCAACAAATCAAGTTCGTTGGACACTGTAACGAATTTACCTACGTGACATATCATCAGAAAATAACACCATGAACAAGTGACAAACTTTCTAGTTTCTACATCTACAATCCTGAAAAGTGTAAATAGAATACTCAACTAAGCAACACAAGGACACGAACCACGATGCACCAATGATATATTAGGGCTGTATAGAATTTAGAGTACATACTTTTTTGGGTCCCTAATAAAAAATACGGTCCTTGCTTTAAAACTTTACAAAAAAAAATTAATTGGTTTGTCCTTATGAAATTCAAAGTAGACCCATTTTAGTCCTTTTGAAGGACTAATACGGGTCTTTTTTGAATTTGTGAGGGACCACGATTTCAACTAAATTGGTCCACTTTGAATTTCTTAGGGATCTCGAGACTATTTTTTTGGTAAAGAACTAAAGTGGGGACCGTATTTTTTTGTTAGAGACCAAAAATAGTATTTACTCTAGAATTTAAGGGTGAGGATTTTTAATTTTTTTTTGTATAAAATTGTGTGAAAATTAAATAAGTAATAAAGAAATTTTCAGGACTATTTGAATTTAAATGTGAGGATTATTTGAAACAGTTTTTTGGTTTTGAAATCAAAAAAACATAAGTTGAGTGTGCTTGAATTTTGTTTTTAAAAATAATTTTTTGATTTTTAGAAGAAAAAAATCTGTTTAATAAGGCTTATTTTGTTAAAATAATTTTAAAAATTATGACTATTTTTTTTAGTTTTTAGAATTAAGAATAAAAAATCAAAACACAATCAAACATACACTGTTGATAGGGTATAAATGGATCAGATTAGATTAGGCTTTGCCCTTCATGGCCTAAACTTATGTAAAATATGCTGAGCATATATGGTCTATTAGACTATTAAAGGCTTGGTTAATAGGCCAGGTCTAGCTTATTATTGAAAAATAAAAAAAGCCTATAGTCCTATTAATTATGACATATTTATAAGATAAATATGCCACTTAGGATAGATAAATAATATTTATGATAATTGATAAATATATTATTTTATTTAAAAAATTAAAAAGATCGGCCTACGGGCTTTAAGGCCAGACTGTTACTTAGTAAGCCTATGGCCTATTTTTTTTAAAAAGCTAATATATAAGCCTAAGGGCTTGTTTAATGTTACGTATAAGACCTGATTGTATAAGTTTATACTATACATTATGATCTTTTCAGTTGTTTAGTGTGACCATTGTATAGTATAAACTTATACAACATGATCCTCTAATACATCATTATGATGTATAATTTAATCAAGTCTTGAAGGGAGGGATTATACCTGATAAGACAATGATGTATTAGTAAATCCCTCCCATTTTTTTCTTCCCCGATTTTAAGCTTCTACCATTTTTTCTTCTTCCCATTTTCTTCTCTATCGTAAACCCCTTTTGAGGAAAGACAAAGGAAGGATGATAGGTGCGTGGTTACACGCGTAAGTAAAAAATTTCTCTGCTAGGGTTCGTGTGATTAAGAGTGTGTGTTTCCATGGGAGATTCATCAACAAATGCTTTTGATACTTTGTCCAATGTTGGAGGAAGTATCAAAAGGTCAAAAAATGGAGAAGAAATTTCAATCGAGGCTCAGATGCGAGATGTTGTGTTGAAATTTCAGTCGAACGGTACTTCGAACGAAAAGCCAAAGACTTTTGCAGAAGCTATGGGTGCTGAAAATGCTATTGCAGGTGACGATACGGCGTGGTTAGCTGATATGGTGGAAGAAGAATCAGAGACTCTTGATCCTAATTTATGGGAAATTTCTGAATGGGTTTTCAAACTATTTTCAAGGAGGATGGGTCTATGGATTTTAGATGTACTGGTGCAGCCAAGGAGAGGATGTGTAAACCATAGAGAAATGCCCTAATTGTTAAGCTTCTAGGCAAAAAGGTGGGAGTGGGTTTTATGAAGAAAAAACTTGAATTTCTGTGGGCAAAATTAGGGGGTATTACTGTAGCTGATATTGGGAATGATTTTTTCTCTATGAAGTTTAGTAGCTTAGAAGATTTGAATCTTGCTATAAGGGGAGGTCCTTGGGTCATTTTTGGGCATTATCTTGCAATCAGAAAATGGGAGCCTTGTTTTGATCCTGAGAAAGCCAACATCCACAAAGTAGCAGCATGGGTTCGATTACCAGGTATTCCCTAAGAATTCTGTGAGTTCCAATTTCTTAAGCATGTAGGCTCTGTTTTAGGTAAAGTTCTTAAGGTTGATAAGACAACATCCTCTGGTGACAGAGTCCGTTTTGCTAGGGTCTACATAGAGTTAGATTTGTTTAAACCTCTAAGTGGTGAATACCAAATAGAAGGAACTAGAAGAAGAGTTGAGTATGAAGGTCTTTTTCTAATTTTGAAGTGTGGTCGTTATGGCAACAATTTTGAAACTTTTCCTGATTATGTGAAACCTTATGCAACGGAGCCTGTTGGGACTAATGTGGAAAAACAAAAGGAGCAACCAAAGGCCCAAGGTGTTGGCCCCTGGATTATTGTCCATAGAAGAAAGAAACCACCGCAAGCTAATCAGAAAAAGGATCAGGTTAAAGGTAGGGCTTTTGGGACAGACCTATCAAATAAAAACATTACGTCTAGCCCAATAGTGAAAACCAAGAAAGGTGGGAAAAAACATGAGACTCAATCTGAGCCTCTTGCAATTCAAGAAAACAGAACCTCCTTGACTAAGAAGCCTTCTTCACTTGCTGTTATGAAATTTAGTGCTACTGTCCCTGTTCCTGTTCAAAAAGGGCCTGTCTTTTCTAAAAATAATCAGTTAGGGGTCAATTCTTCCAACCTTACTATGCCTCCTAAAACGTCTTCTCAAGTGAAAAAATCTATTATTAAAGAAAGGGATTTTTCTATAGCAATTTCAAGTAACCCTAAGGATGAAAACAATTGTGTTTTGGAGAAGTCTGGCCTGCCTTCAAACTCTAACCTTTTTCTGAAGTGTCTTAATTCGGAAAAAAGTTCTTAGATTTTGGAAAACAGTTCTGCCTCTGTCCACAAGACCTTGGATAATATTCTCAAGGACCCTGAACCCCCTGATTCTATAATGGAAGAAGCTTCCAAGATTGTAAGTGTGCAACTGATTCTATAATGGAAGAAGCTTCCAAGATTGTAAGTGTGCAAAAAAGAATAGGTATAGGTTTACCTACTGATACCAGATTACCTTTGTTTGAAACTGAGGAACAAATAAATTCAATGATGTTGGATGTTATTACTCTACAAGTTGGTGGTAATGATGTAGAGGATTTAGGTTGCAGATCATTCTCAAATCTGCAGCAATCTAATCTATCTTTACGAATATTTTGACTTGGAATTGTAGAGGTGCTGCTAAGAAACAATTCAAGAGCACTTTCTCTAGATTCCATAAGAAGTACAAGGTTTGTGTGGCTGCTATTTTAGAGCCAAGAGTTAGTAGTAGAAAAGCCAGTGATATCAACCGCAGTCTGGGGTATTCTAATTCTTTAGTTAGTGAGGCCCAAGGTTTTGCGGGTGGTATTTGGGTTGTTTGTGTAACATCCCACATAATTAAGAAAATATATAAATTGCTATGAGGAATATGGAAGCATGTGTTAAATTTGAATTATATGTTGATGCTCGTCTTATCATCGAATTATGTAACTAAATTCCCTAGAGTAAGCTAATTTAATTTAGGGGATTATTTGAATTACAATTATGGTGAGCATTTATTTTAGGCATGTGAAACTTTAGTTAAAAGGTATAGGAATAATTTAATTGTGACATATAAAAAAGTATAATGCTACTTAGGCTATATGGGAATTAATAATTTAGTGGGTTAGTACCTAAGAAAGGAGAGCCATTGGACTTATAATTTTGAACCCCATTGCATGTGATGGCCGAGGACCTTAGGGCCTTAAGGAGTAATTAAGGTTCAGCCCAATCTTTTACCTATCCTTGTCTTATCTTAAGGGTCTTACAAGGCAGTCCACCATGGGCTAAGGACCAAACACATGGCAACTTATATCCAATCTATTCAGCCCTTACATGTGCGCATAGGGTAAGGAAAATTCTGATTGAGTTCCTTCAAATTAAAACAAGTCAGCCTCACTCACCACTCCCCTCCTCTCATGCGCATAGGTTGTGTAAAAAGC